GAGGAAATGTGGGTCCTATTTTGTTTGAGGAGAACAAGCAGCATTTCTGCCTCAATTAGAACACTGGAGTCCTGACAGTAGAGGAGCTGCTGGACCAAGAGGACATCTGGCTTTGCCTGAAGAGCAATACCTGCACACTCTTCTTTAAAATATTATTTGAAAATCCATTGTAGCTGATCCAAGGGACAGTAGATGCTCGTGCACTATTAATACTGGATTCTTGACTTCAGTTTACTTTAGGAGAGGACGTACAACGGTTGGAGATCTCCTTGTGAAACAGAAAATATTCAAAACTCTGAGCATCCTACAACCAGCCTGTGCCTGAAAAAGCCTCGACTGTGTCTCTGGCTTCTGGGAAGTGTAGTGCAAAACACATGAGCAATGCTTGCTACAACTGCCCATAGCTTGCATCTTTGGTAAGCACATTTGCTGGCAGGTTTATATAGGATGCCTTCCAGACTTTTCATACCTACCTGAATTATTAGAGCCAAACAAAATACGTTAATAGCTACTAAGAACGTGCGTTTATTTGCCAGAGACCTCAGGTGGGAAACGGTTCATACTTTGCCCCAGGGACAGTCAGAACCTAACAGAGAAGACGCTGTGCTGTGGCTGGTGCAGTTCCTGCGCTGGACGCCCAGTGCCGCTGCTGCCCAGCGCTGGGCGGGGGCTCCCAGGCAGGGAGGGGCCAGCGAGATGTTGCGTGGCTGACATCAGCTGAGAGCCCAGCCGAAATGCCCCTGCTGCGCTGGAATACGCCTTTGTTCAAAGCCTTTTCAAGGAATGTGCTGGGACTTACTGCATCGAGAACCGGCTGGAAACATCAAGAGCACAAGCAGAACCGGGAAGGAGAAGGAGGGAGACAGTCTCCCAGGTCCAGCCCTGAGGAATCTGAGAGCATTTCACCGCAGGTCTGGCGTGACTCAGGCAGAGCCCGTTGGTTGGTAAGCACCGACTTAACACCACGAGAAAGTAATGTTTACATTTAACAGAGTGATGGGAAAATCATTAACTGGAATGAATGTAGAGAGGAGGCCGGCTTAGCTCTCAGAAAATGAACCATAAACAGGCTCTGTACCAGCGGGATTCACAGTATAACGGAAAGCCAGCAGGTTGGGAACGATTATCCTGTCTTTCCTCACGTTTGCCTCTAGCTGAGAGCTCATGGCAGCCATTTTCACAAGAGAGCTGGGAATTCAAGCGCCGTTTGAGTGCTGGAGGAGAGAACAGAAGCCAGTCCTGGAGCTGGCTAGGAATGAGAGGACAGGAATGTTAGTCCCTCTTTGCACGCGGGTTTGGAAGCCACAGGGACTCGGGGAAGCATCTGTGTTTTCGATCTGCAGGCAAGGACTCCTCTCAAGCCAGGCAGTCTTTAGGGTGTGCTGGAGACAGACGGACTCCAGGGATGGGGAAAACCCTTTACCCAGCGGGGCAACCAAACTTCACATGGGGTCTCTGAGACTTCAGTCGGTGGATTAGAATTCGCAGCTAGAAGACCAAGAGGAGGAAATTGAAATTGCTCAGACTACAGAAGCTTGGTGGAATCTCCATTTAGAAACACTGTGTTCTGAAATACAGAGACATACCAGGAACTGAGCAGAGTATGTTGCAGTAGCTCTTTTCTAGCGTTAAGATGTAAATCTCAGGGTAAAGACGAGAACCAGTTTTCCATAATTTTAAGCTACCTTCTTAGGATAAAGATGTTATCGCTAAGCCAAGAAAAGAGGAAGCCTACAACATCACTACGTGCTCCAGGAGATAAGTAAATTCTGTGACACCTTAATGCAAATCACAATTTTATTGTGGCTATAGTTCATTATAGTGTGTCCTAAAACAGTGTGCTGTTGTCTGGCAGTTTACATATTTTTTCTTTTCTCCAGTTATACACATTCATTTTATTGTTGTGACCCAATGGAAAATACCATGTCGTGGTTTAAGACCAGCCGGCAACTTGGAACCACGCAGCCACTCGCTCACTCCCCCCCTCTTCCTTCCTCCCCCTGCTCCCGGAGGGATGGGGAGGAGAATCAGAGGAATGTAGCTCCCACGGGTTGAGATAACAGCACTCCAGTAACTAAGGTATAATACAAACCACTACTGCTACCAATAATAATGATAAGAGGAATAACAAGGGGAGAGGACACAACCGCTCACCACCCACCGACCGATACCCAGCCCGACCCAAGCAGCGATCTCGGCCTTCAGGGTAACTCCCGCCAGTTTCTATACTGGGCATGATGTGCTGTGGTATGGAATACCCCTTTGACCAGTTTGAGTCAGGTGTCCTGTCTCTGCTTCCTCCCGGCTTCCCCTCCTCCCTGGCAGAGCATGAGACTGAGAAAGTCCTTGGTCAGAGTAAACATTACTAAGCAACAACTAAAACCATCAGTGTTATCAGCATTGTTCCCAGGCTGAAAGTCAAAAACACAGCACTGCACCAGCTACTAAAAAGGAGAAAAAATGACTGCTATAGCTGAACCCAGGACATACCAGCATCCATCCAAAATCCAGTGGGGATGGTAAGAGACCCTCTTTATTTGGTACTTCTCTAAAATATGAGCTTCGGTCTAAGAACAGCATCTTCTGATGTGAAAAGGTATTACTCTAGCCAAGAGCTCACTTAAGGATCACTGCTCCTTTTACACTCTTCTACACTTGAAGTTGAAGGACATCATTCCCCTTCTGAAATGAGGCGAGTAACAATTGCCAGGTTATTGCTGAGAGGGTGGGAAGTGTCTGTGGAAGCTCTTCTCAGCTTGTATCTGTTCCAAAATTAGGTTATGTAGAAGCAAAACCACCTTCCTCTCTAGGAGGTGCCAAGAGCTGAGCAGGAGCACTGGCAAGGGCACAAAGCAAATGGATTCCAGGTATCACTGTTACTTTTGTATAGCAGGAATAAAAAAAATCAACGTTATCTACCGCTGTACTTGACCTATGTTAGGTTTTACATCAAGCTTCTGTGCTGGTGAGAATGACAGCAACTCAAGAGATGGACATTGACATGTCCCTGGAAGGGAAGAAAGGAAGAAAGAGCTTACCTGATCTTTGATGTAAGTTAGCCTTTTCAATTCTATTACCCTTCCAAGTCAAAGAAGGGGTAAGAAGAAATCACAAAAGATGGCTGCACCTGTGCAAAGTCCTAATAGCTAAAAATGTAGCTAAAATTCTGTAAAAGTCAACCTTGGCTGTTACATTCTCCTGCTGATACAGTCACGAAGTTTTTTATTTTAAAACAAATGAAGGCATCAGCGAATTTCTAAGACTTCACCTGATGAGTATTGCTGGAGAGTGGCAACCCTTTTAGCAAATAAAAAGTAAAGGTGAAACACCTAGGAAATTAAAGGAAAGGTGTGAAAACCAAGGAGGTCGGGATACTTTCCGTATATACAAAAAAATAGCACACCAGCAGTACGTGGCATGGGCCTTTCCCGGAGCTCGCCGCTGGGTCACTTGTGGTTTCTGGTTGAACTTCTTGTGGTTTACACTTGAATGGTTCCTTTAATTGCGTCATTAGATGCCGGGTCCTTGCTATTAACTCCTTTATCTCCTGCCCATTAGCTTTTGCGTATCTGGGTATTTATGAGCTCTCCTATTTCCTTGGCTTTTGTATTAAATAGCTGTAGGCTGTGTATCCTTACACAGAGAAAGGAATTCAGATTTGACGTCTGAGTAGAGGAACCTTTAAAGCATTTTTAAGCCTGTGGAGTAACAGTAGAGGAGAAAGGATTGTATGCTGTCTTATGAAGACAGGTGGAGAGAGTTGGGGTTGTTCAGCCTGGAGAAGTCATCCCCCAGAGACCTTAGGGCAGCTTCCAATGCCTAAAGGGTCCTACAAGAAATCTGGAGCGTAGCTTTTTTTTAAGGGCAGGTAAGGACAGGACAAGGTGTAATGGCTTTAAAGAGGGGAAATTTAGATTAGATATTAGGAAAAAAAGTCTTCACTGTGAAGGTGGTGAGACACTGACACAGGTTGCCCAGAGAAACTGTGGCTGCCCTACCCCTGGCAGTGTTCAAGGCCAGGTTGGACGGGGCTTGGAGCAACCTGGTCTAGTGGAAGGTGCCCTTGCCCGTGGCAGGGGGGTCGGAACTAGATGAGCTTTAATGTCGCTTCCAGCTCAAACCAGTTTGTGATTCTGTGATACCTCTAAAACAGGAAAGCAGGTTGCAGCATTTCCATGTCTGTGTACAGCTGGGGACATTTTTCATTAATGTGTTGTACAGAGACACACTTATGGGTGCAAGGGTCAGCAGTTTGCAAAGGGTGGGGGGAGAAAAACGCTTTTTGCACAGAAAAGCCTTAAAGTTTTATGTCGTTTGTGAGAGGTGTGATACACGAAGTGAAGAAGCATTAGGATGATGTGTCCTAGAGAAGCATTATCATTCTAGTGTGATGGTGAGTTGTGGTGATAGGGAAGCACTTACTTTCGGGAACCTAGTCCTGTCATCTCTCTGGAACCAGATCGCATAATCTTCTCCTACCCGCCCCCTTTCCAACTACCTTTGTGCTGATTACCACGAGGAGAAAGAAAATCCCACAACCCACCCTGTGGAAGTGGCAGACCTTGCTATGGCTGCACCACACAGAGGAAACCCAAAAGCTGTATATGAAGAATTCGTGGGAGTGAGCTGTGAAAGTGGTACCCAGAGCATGCAGGGAGGAAGCCGGCTTCCAAGGGAGGAGAGCATTTACACTGCGCCCGTTGGCTTCGGTTTGGCAGGGAGGGTACAGATTCGAGCAGCAAGCTCCGGCCCAGCAGCTCTGCTCCGAGTAAGGCAGAGGGACGGACTATTCCCCCTTACGACGCTGGGTGGGGATGTTGCCCACAGACCAGCAGGTTCCGCTGCCTACCCCGGGTTTGCAGGCACAGGGAGACAAAAAAAGCCGTAGGAGCTGCTCGGAAAGGGCTGCGCGGCGCGGAGCTGGGGTGCTCGGAGGCTTTCAGACGCCACAACCCCGGGAATCCTGACAAACACCTCTCTGCCTCGGACGCTGCTTAAAAATGCTGGGAATCGCGGAGGACGGTGGACGGTTTTTCTGGAGAGTAATGGCATGCGGGGGACGGAACAGAGATAGCAAGAGGCAAGTGATCTTGTTTTTTCTGTGCGTTTGCGTGTGTCAGAGCGCGACAGAAACCCTCCGCTATTTTCTGCTGGAGGAAATGGAGAGAGACTCCTTTGTCACCAATATTGCAAAGGACCTGGGGGTTTCTCCGAGTCATCTCGTGGCTCGCAAGGCCCGCGTTGTGTCTGACGGGAACGAGCAGCTTTTCCGCCTTAATCAAAACACCGGAGTCCTGACGGCAAAGAATTCGCTGGACCGAGAGAAGATCTGTCCGCAGAGCGACAGCTGCACGCTCGTGTTTAAGATATTCCTTGAAAATCCATTGCAACTGGTCCGAGGGGAGGTGGAGGTTCGTGACGTGAACGACAACTCCCCCGTGTTCCCGGAGAAGGAGATGGTTTTAGAGATTCTGGAAACGGCATCTCCTGGGTCTCGTTTCCCTCTGGAAAGCGCCCAAGACCAGGACGTGGGCAGTAACGGTTTGCAGAACTACAGCCTCGGATCAAATTCACATTTCTCCCTCTCTCTGGAAACAGGGAAAAATGGAAAGAAATATGCGGAGCTCGTCCTACAGCGCCAGCTGGACCGCGAAGAGCAGCGAGAGATGAATTTACTTATTACAGCAACCGACGGGGGCTCACCACCTAGGTCGGGGACGGCTCAGGTCCGGATCGTAGTGTTGGATGCCAATGACAACACCCCTGTCTTTGGTCAGGAAGTCTACGAGGTGCGCCTAACTGAGAACAGCCCCCCGGAGCAGCTGGTGGTCAGAGTGACGGCCACGGATCCCGACGAAGGGTCCTCCGGGAAAGTGTGGTACGCCTTTACCCAGACACCGGAGCGGTCCCGGCAGCTCTTCGAGCTGAACCCCACCACCGGGGAGATACGGGTGGCGGGCAACCTGGATTTCGAGGAAGAGAAAACCCACGAGATGGTGGTGAAAGCCACTGACGGTGGGGGGCTGTCGGCGCATTGCAAAGTGCAGGTGGAGGTCCTGGACGTGAATGACAACGCTCCGGAGATAGCACTCACTTCCCTCATAGCCTCCATCCCCGAGGCTGCCCCGCCCCGCACCGTGGTAGCCCTGTTCAGTGTGCGAGACCGGGACTCCGGGGATAACGGCAGGACAGAGTGCTCGATCGAAGGGGACTTGCCTTTCAGTCTCACTCCGACTTTTGATAATTACTACGAACTGAGAACGAACGCGCCCCTGGACAGGGAGAGGACGGCGGAATACAACATCACCGTCACAGCCATGGACTGGGGCACCACGCGGCTCAGCTCCCGGAAAAACCTCTTTGTGCAGATATCGGACGTGAACGACAATTTCCCAGAATTCACCCAGGAGGTTTACACCATGTCGGTCACGGAGAACAATAGCCCCATGCTCCGGATAGGCAGCGTGAACGCCACAGACGCAGACGCGGGAAACAACGCCCACATAAACTACGCGCTGGTGCGGCAGGAGGGGAAGGAGCAGCCCGTCGTGTCGGTCAACTCTGAAAACGGGGATGTTTATATTCTCCGCCCGATGGACTACGAGGAAGTGCGTGCCTTC